GTAGGATATATTTGACAGCAGTGTGCTGAAAGTAGTAAACATGTGAATATATATAGTTCAATAACGATACTTCGTTGAATAATCTTTTGGAGACACAACCAGACCTCTTCCCTTCCGTGCGCCTCGGTATACCGTCTCCACGATGTCAATGAACTCCTGCTTGTCCTCGACGGGCCAGTTGATTTTGTTGTTATTACCCGTGCCAAGATCAATCATTATATGTTTGTTTCGGTAGAAGAACATCACCGTGCATGGATCGTAAAGTTCATACATTTTGTTGAAGTCAGGAACTTCCGAAACGTCTACAAGATAACAAACTGCAAAGTTTTTGACCTTCTCGGCTATTTGAAAAAGAGTTTCGTCCATAACCATACAAGAGGGATCCCAATCATGTCCGAAACGAATAATAACTACACGGTCTTCTTCGGAAAGAATTGCCTGATCGACCTGCCAGGCATTTGTTAAATGTGAAAGCATATAAGACATGATAAAATATGCTGATCGGAAAGAAAGGACGGAGCAACAACACGACAAGTAGTAAGGACAACCGAAACACCACGGCACTAACGTAACTTAGCGTAATCCAACGTTTAGGTCGCTTTATTATAGGGATGAGAATTTTGCAAATAACCTGCATGTTCACATCAAAAATGCATTATAATTAATTTTTAAAACTGAAAATATGGGATTTACATTAAACTTAGCGCCCAGAGAGCACTATCAAAACGGACTTAGAACTAAGGTTAAATAATGACATTTTGCACATTTAATGCTATAAGTGAGCGGCCAGATATACAGGAGCTCTGAGTAATGTGATAGGTAGAGTATTTCACATCCACAGGCCATGGCTGTATTATGTCCATGTTTTTTGTAACCGCAAATTTAGGCTGATATCCTAGAAGCATTTGTTCCATATCTTAACCTGGTGATGTGTCGAAGTTAATCGGACAGAGCCTGTACCTCACTGGTCATACCTGTGTCATCCTCATCGTATAATCCGCTGTCTGGATGCCGAGTAGCTTTCAATTCAAGTAATAGAGCCTCCTTGTTACTATATAAGAAGTTTCTTCAGCCTATGAACCAACGGGACTCGTGAATTATGTCTCTTTCCGACCTTGTGTTCAGTCACCCGAAAACTCAGCTTGCCGTTCAGACGTTAAACGCACAGAAAAGACAGTTAACTAACGAAATCCATCTGAGACAGAATTTCATTTTTGACATCTATGTGACTACGGATTATCGGCAGAAACACTTGACAAATCTGATGGAAGGGACCATAACTGTTACCCTATCGAACGTGACCGTACCCATTCAACCAGGAGGTGTAGCGGCCAATATTTTAAAGGCTAATGTTGTTATAACGAGGGGTTCAGTGTCGTTACTGTTATAACGGTGACATCTGACGTGTGTCACCGTTGAATTACGCCCTGTGTAAATCCCCAGGGAAGAACACAATAAGTAGGGCATAATTCTAGAATCCACCCGGAGGAGGGTTTATTTTGTACAAAACCGGGAGGAGCTGTCTTGGTTGGCTGTTGCCTCGCTGGGTTGATCTTCAGCGTCCTTCGCCATCAGGTGTGGCTGAAACTCTTTGTGTCCAGCCTCGGGGCGAGCCCGGCATTTGGAGCGGACTGGCGTCGCCACGCGTCCGCTGTTGCAACTC